AGGTCTAGCCGAGCAGGTTGGAGCCTTTGAGAAACGAAAGAAAACCAAAAGCCACTACTACATTTTATAGTTTGTGCAACGAAGAAACTTTGGTCGCACAAATATCAGCGCAACAGAAAATTCGTCGTGCAAAATCCGTCGCTCAAAGATCGTGAAGAAAGACTTTGCGCGACCAAGTTTCTTCATTGGTCGCGCAAAATAGAGCGATGGTTAACCTTCGTTGCACCAAAAGTTTAGGGACGGCACAATTATTCGTTGTGCAAATATTTTCGCGACGACAAAGCGCGACGGTTTTATTCGTCTCGCAGATCTGTAGGGACAAAAGAACTATTCGTGTCTCAAATATTTGCGTGACGACATTCAGGACTAGAGTGCCGAATCGAATGATCGATGCTAGAAGCTGTGACATCTCTGACATCCGAGTATCATATGAGGCGAGTTGGGTTTCAAGTAACGCCACCTTTGCTGTCAAAGCAGTCACCTGATTGTTTGACTGCGACGATGAACGGGGTCTAGGTTCCCGCCGTCGGGCATTCCCCATACCTTGACAATATGTCCCTGGCCGCCTCCCGAGAGTCTGATCCAAGGTTTCCGTCAGAATTTGAAATCCCGCATCCTGTGGAGGAGTCACGGACTCAAGCGGCATATCGAGAGGAAGCTGAGAGGCCAACTCCTGAAGAACCAACTGGCTCTTCTCCATCATCGTCGTCTATTTAACATAACATAAAATATTAATTAAAACATTCATATAATAACCATGAAACTTGAATGTGTAAGATAATAATTAAAATTAAAGATTACTTACATGAAGGGACTCAGCCAACTCATTCCCCGATCGAATATAAATGTCGCCAAAGACGTCAATCTCAGGGAATTTGGACCCCCCCTAAATTGAACAAGAGAAGAAAAATGTTAGTTCGAAAAAAACAAATTAATATTAATGACATATTAAAAATTAAATGAAAACGACTTTATTATTACCCGTCGCCGCGCCTCCATCCTATAGGAAAAGGGCCTGGAACGTGAATGGTGGAATGCCCTTATTTGCTCCCTATTGCCCTTCTTCTCCCTATTGCCCTTATTTTCTTTGGCCTTCTTCTGTTATACAAAAAATTAAAAGTATTAGTTGAAATTCAAATGAAATATAAAAAATTAAATAAACATTAGTAAGAAACGTGTAATAATTTTCAGCTTAATATAAAAAAATACCACATAATCGGCCTCCTGAAAATGACCGCAGAGCCACTCCCAACTATCCTCCCGCCCCTCAAGCTCCTTCGTGCAACCCTCCTGAAGAGCGACCTGCGGATCATCATATGCCTAAAAATGGTGGTGCAGGTCGCTCTTCCACTGCTTGTACCTCTCAGCAAAGAGTCTGTTGATGTACGCCAACAACTCGTCGTCGAGGTTCTCTAAATTGTAGTTCGTCTGCAATAAATTCATTAAATACATTAAGTATTAAAAATATATAAAATTTGAAGGAAAAATAATTAAAAGGTAGGATACATACCGACAGCTGTCCGCGCACCGCTATCCTCATCTCGTCAGGCATGACCTTCCAAGACTTCCATTTCATCGGGCAATGGGTCCATACGACGTGACCAATGTCGTGGGCCAATGAGTTATGCTGGTCCGCCATTGGTGCAGCCCGATGCCACTTGTCATATCCGATGTTGATACGACTGTTGGTCACCCGGGTGACCTTTGCCGTCTTCAATTGGCGACAAGGTCCCCAAGTGTTCTTCTTGGCTACAAAGAAATATAAAATTAACGTTAAATAACAAATCCTACTAAAATCTTGGTCCAAAACAGCTGGAGGTGAAGGAAATCTTTACCTGGTTGTGACTCCGACGCACCAGCAACGGAGGACAAAGTGGTGGCGGTAGTGCTGGGGGGCGGTGACGCCGCCTAGCGCTAACAGGTTGTGCCACTGATGACTCTGATGACCCCGGCGCATGGGAGAACCCGAGACAAACCGGCATGTCGTGCACCTGTGCTGGAGCAGTGGCAGCTAACGTCGTAGCTGGGGGAGGCAAACTCTATGCAGTCATCACCCCCTTACAAGTTCTGATAAGGTCGGACATCTGCACAACTGAACAAGCATTCAAAGTTAAAACCTCCTTGGCCAAAAATTTAAAAACAAATTCAATATTAAACATATTCATTCACCAAAATACCAACAACTCAAATGCAGAAACTCATGGATTAAAATGCTCCAGTATCAAGTAGCAATAAATAAAAAAATCAATCAAGAAAACTTAATTGCAAAATACACTAGAATAATTTCTACCTAAATAAAAAAGAAAAACAGGTGTTTTGCATCATTCAATTCTGTGAAGAGTCAAAACAAGGAACAGATAGATGTATATTCAAAAACAGTCCCGATCTCTTGTACCACAGGGGTCCAAGAGATTTGTGGTCACTAACCGTTGGATGTAAATTCAACGATTCCCTCCCTCTTGCACTCCTTTTAAGAAACTTTTTTGAACTATTAGATTAATATCCAATAGATCAGAACTGTATTAAAAAATTCAAGTCATGTGTAATAGGAATTTATCCATAAAACCCAAACTCAGTTGGCAGTAAGCAAGGGGAAAGCTAAAAATTTGCCAAGAACAGATATGCTAAGAACAATATATATATAGTCTGTTTATCTCAATTCCAACAACAGATATGCTAAATTTTTTCCAACAACATATATGCATGATTTAGAATTACAGTCTGCCTACAACATTATAATGTGTCTAATTACTAGTCAATTAGTAAGTTAATATGACGCAAAAATCACCATTTCGACCCACTCCACAATCAACTCGAACTTATTTTTTTCGGTCTTTCATTGAAAAATCATCTTTGTAAAAACTCACCCAAATTGTACTTCCATATAGATACCAAAATGATAAGTCATGACCCAACCGAGAGAGCATCAACCCCAAAAAATTTCAGATTTACAGAATTAGCAACCTACGGGATTTTGACACCACCAATCAAATGTGAAATCAAAAGCCAATACAAAAAGGAAATTGAAACATAAAATCCTAACCAACCATCAGACTAAGCAATTTCAACACTCACAAAATAAATATAGAAATTGAAACAGTAAAACAAAATCACAAAAGCATTAATAAAATTGAAACAAAAAGGAAATAGGGAGATGAAACCTTCCTACAGACAGCAGATGTGAGAGGGAGGCGGTGGTGGTGACTGGCGAGAGGGAGACGTAGATGGTGAGAGAGACACGCAGAGGGAGGAGACCTTCGGATTTCAACGATGGGGGGTTTGGGTTGGAGAGAGAGGGAGAGAATTTGGGGTCAAAGAGGGGGAAAGGGAGAGAGGGTTTCTGGTTTGGTTAGGGGTCGGCTACTGTGGCGGCGAAGGCACGGCTGGGTCTGGTCTTGGGGCTGGCCGTTGCCGACGGTGGTGGTATGGAGGTTTGGGAGGGCACGGCTGGAGGAAGAAGGAGGGTTGTTCGTGGGGGAAGACAGAGTGAGAGAGAAAGAGAGGGGTTAGTCAAAAAAAATATTCGGGACCTTGCGCGACGAGAAACAATGGCATCGCGCAGGTTCGATATTTTCACCTTGCGCGACGTATAGATAATAAGACGTCGCGCAAAGACTTTTTAATAAGCGGGAAGTGGACTGCCAAAATTTCGTGAACTTGCGCGACGTAACAGCGCCCAGGCATCGCGCAAACCCAAAACCATGAACACTAAACCCTAAACCCTAAACCCTGAATCCTGAACCCTAAACCCTGAAAATTATAACATTGCGCGACGTAGGATTAGTTTCCACTGCACAAAGTCAGGTTGCGCGACAAAATAATGCGTCTGCCAATATTTTGTGCGACATATCATAACTTGGCGTCGCGCAAAGTCATGTTGCACGACAAAACAATGTGTCTCGCAAGACTTTTTGTTTATAACTATTGAAAAGTTTTGTCCCGTTACTAGATCTCTGAATGTTTGTTTTTTGCGATTTTTGGGGTATACGATCTCGTAGTATATACAAACAAGTTTGACGGTTGGATTGTTGAAACTAGTTTCATAGAATGCGTATGCCATCAAAATAATATATTAACTAACAATTAAGAGTTTATTTATACTTTCGTTGAACATAACATAAGATTTTGTGGTATCCACTAGTGTAAATCTTTTAAATTGAAGATCAAATTCAGTCATTGTATTCATATAGGGTCAAGGAGTGTAGCTGTAAAAAATCATCAAAATCGGAGTTAAAATAACCGTTAAATCGTGATTTTTCATTTATAACCGTTGAAAAGTTTTGTCCTGTTACTAGATCTCTGAATGTTTGTTTTTTGCGATTTTTGGGGTATATGATCTCGCAGTATATACATACAAGTTTGACGGTTATAGGCTTCTTACTTGAAATTAGTTGACTTTATTTTTTATTGCTTTCTTAAGGACTACATTGAACTTATCAGCATATATAGCTCAATTTATTTAACAATATTTCATTTCTCCACATATATAAGGTTTGGATATAACAAGTACATATATTCAAACAAGCATACTTGCCAAAATCTTTACATTAACATTATTAAATTACAAAAAATTTCATTTACTATCGCGGAATATCACCGAGGTCAATTGTAATTGACTGAATCGGTATTTCTCTTGATGACACTCCTTCAAGCTGAAACGGTTCTTGTACAACATTTGCATCTAGAAGTGTTTGTGCATCATTTTCCATGGAAGATTCTAAACGTTGGTCAGCGACGTCGACATCGTTCTCAGATGAGTCTAGTTCTGGTATAGCAAACACGTTCCTCTGATCCATCTGCTGAACAACTTTTCAACCGCTCCCAGCTTTAGGGTCATCTAGATACACAATCTGTTTTGCCATGTTTGCCAAAATGTAAGGGTCTTCATCATACCAAGTTCTGGTAACGTTCAAAAATAGTAAGCCATGGTTGATTTTAACACTTCCCTTCCTATTTGGGTTCAAATCAAACCATCGACACTTAAACATGATCACTTGGTATCAGTCTTTGTAAAGCAATTGCACGACAGTTGTGAGTTTGCCATAGAAATCAATGTCCGTACTTTCGCCTCCACCTAGGACATGGACACTGCTGTATTGCGTACACAATTTGTCATCTCGTGCAGTCCCCAAAAACTTGACGCCGTTAACATGGCAACCCGAGAACAATTCAGCGCGAATTGGGCCGAATGCCAAGTTATATAACTCTTCACTATAAGTGGGAGAATTCTCTGATTTCAATTTATTCACCTAATATTATACAAAATTCGCATGTTAGTTTGAAAAAATTAAATACTACAATATATATGTCAAATACAAAACACTTATAACTTACATATTCCAAAAACCATTGTGGAAACAATTCATGGTGTTTCTTGGAATACAAATGTGATGGATGTTCTCGCTTCATCATCTCTTCATGCTCATCTAAGTATGCCATTATCTCATCATAATTGTTCAGTATGAACCAATGGGCTACCTCCATGTCATTTCTAGAAAACGACTCTCCTCGTACATGATCTCCAAAGGGTCGTGCGCTTTGGGCAAAAACAGAAAGTTTCTCATTTCTCACACCTCTGTCATTATTGCGCTGAGGACGATTGAAAGCAGTGTCCATATCTTTTAAATACATTCCACAGAAAGTAAGCGCCTCATATTGAACCCAAGCCTCTATAATTGATCCTTCGGGCTTCGCTCTGTTGCGTACGCTTTTTTTCAGCTCTCCGAGAAGCCTGCCAAAATAAAACGATACGATACAAATTAGCAAGTAGCAAGTAGCAAACATGGGATAATGATGCATACACAAATGATGAGGATTATATACCTTTCTATTGGATACATCCAACGATAGTTGACTGGACCAGCAAGCAATGCCTCTTCTGGCAAGTGAACCATCACGTGAATCATATTTGTGAAGAAAGATGGAGGGAATATCATCTCAAACTTGCATAGGACTTGGACAATGTCATGGAGCAACTGATTAATGTCTATCTTTCGCAAAGTTTTTGCCATCAGTTGGGAAAAAAATCTGGACAACAATATGATTGGCTTGACTACATCTTCCGGCAATAGGTGTCGAATCCCCACAGGAAGTAGGCGTTGCACAAACACATGGCTGCCATGGCTCTTTAGTCCAGTAAATTTACCCCCGTCAACATTCATGCAACGTGCGATATTAGAAGCTTACCCGTCAGGAAACTTTACAGACGATACAAACTTTAGAAATTCTTTTTTGTCATTTGGTTTAATGGAAAAAAATGCAAGATCCCTTCTAGCTTTATCGCTGTCCCTTTTCATCCATAAACCCCTTCGTATGCCCATTCTTTCCAAATCAAGACGAGCTTTGATCGTGTCCATCAATGTGTCAAAGGCATTTTTCTCAACATGCATAATGTCGAGATTGTGCCTCAATTTTAGTTTTGACCAATATGGGAGCTCGAAAAATATAGGCTTGTGCGTCCAGTTCATATGTGTAGCAGGTCTGGTCCGACTAATTGTTTTCCCGAACAGAGCAAAATTCAAACGGTTAAGCTGTTCCAAGATCTCATCACCGGACCAATCTCTAGGTCCGAGGCGACGCTCTGTGTTCCCGTCGAACTCTTTATCCTTTTCCCACCACTCGTGGTCCCATGGCAACCATCTCCGATGACCAAGGTAACAAACTTTTCCAGCGTGCCAACTAGAAGTTATATCTTCCTTGCATACAGGGCATGCCATATAACCCTTTGTGCTCCACCCAGAAACCATTGCATATGCGGGAAAATCAATCACAGTCCACATAACTGCTGCCGGAAAAGTGAACATCTTCCCAGTGGATTTATCATACGTGCGCACACCGTTTGTCCATAAATCCTTGAGCTCATCAACCAACAGCCGTAAGTAAACATCGATTGACCTGCCAGGATCCTTAGTTATCAACAACAGTCATCATCATGTATTCTTTTTTCATGCATTTCCAAGGCAGCAAATATATGGGAATATGAAAATCGGCCAAGTGCTGTGGTGTTGGTTTAAAACCCCGTACAGATTGAATCTGTCAGTGGCAAGTCCCAATCTAACATTTCGGGAATCAGCAGCAAACTCGGGGAATGTTCGATCGAACTCTTTCCATGCCTCCCCATCTGCAGGATGCCGCATCACATCGTTGTCTACCCGTTTTTTCTTATGGCATCTCATGTCTGTGGCAGTATGCCATCTCGTTTCAGGGGCAGATAACGCATGACTTTTTGTGAGATCTTAGTCATTCTATTATGAGATGTCATTTTGAACCTCGACTCATTGGGGCATGTATCCAATGTTTCATACTCTTTGTAGAATAACATGCATTTGTTTTTGCAAGAATGAATTTTTTCATAACCCAATCCAAGACCATTCAACACCTTCTGCGCCTGTCGGTGGTCTTTTGGCAAACAATTGTCCGTCAGAAGCATTCTCTTGAAAACCCCCAAAAAGTAATCGAAACACAAGTTCGACATACGATACTTTATTTTTCCGTGCATTAGCTCCCCAATGGCTGTCAGAACGGAAAAGCTCTTGCACCCCGGGTATAACTCTTGGTTGGCATTTTTTAACAGCTTTTCATGCTGTTCGAACTCTGCACTGTCCATTGGTGTGGGCACGTCATCTTCCCTTTCCTGATTGCCGCTGGTCGATGCAAATGGAAAAGTGTCATTTATAATATTCATGACTTATTCATTAGGATCCACAATAGGTTCAACATTCTCCACTCTTGTGGCCCTTAAAGACAAAGCAATGTCTAATTGTTCCCTGTGATGGTTCTAAGTACTATATGTCTCAATCATTCCATTCCTTACTAAATGAAATCGAACATTTTCAATTGTCTCCCACAACGTGTTGTTACACCTCCTACAAGGACACCGGATTCTAGTTGCACCCGGGTTATGTGTCTGTGCAAAGTCAATAAAATCTTCGATTCCATCCAAGTATTCGTCTACGCACCTATTCGGGTTCTGTATCCAACTCCTGCTCATAATTCCTGGAACCACAATCACAATACTACAATCATGTTGTATTTGTACAAAATCATAATGTCACCTTATGCCTCCGGTAAGGGCCCTATCCCATTCGGGATTGCATAGTCATGTCACGTAATTTACGGCTACATGAGATTAGATTTCGACGTAGATGAATTTCGGCAGCATCTGGATATGGTTCTAGAGGTGTACCGTAGGTATAAAATAATTATAATGTGTCACCCGAAAAACATACCGAGATGACACTGAAATCTCCACAATCGAAACCTAATCTTGTAGCCGTAAATTACGTGACATGACTATGCATTCCCAAATTGTCCAAATAATGGGACAATTCAAGAATTAATTGGACCGCAGTCACGCTTTCGCATCCATGCGCGAAATCCAACTAACCTCGAATGGGAAACTAAGTTTTACTATAAAAAAAATTGTACGAAGTTAATTTTCAATCAACTTCGTACATCAACGTGCATAATTTAACAACATAATATAAATATAATTTCAAAAAACAATTTAAATATAATGTAATTAATTTTATATTTTTAAAGGGTAATGATTTCCCCACTCCAATTTTATCTACTTACAGTCCTTTTTTAGTTATAAAATGGAGTGTAAGTGGATAAAATTGGAGTGGGGAAATCACCACTCTTTTTAAATTATAAAACGACGAAAATACCTTCTCAATCGTTCTCCACCAATCGCTAATCACATATAATATCCCTATAGACAACGAAATTAATGGTGTTAGTATAAATTTACATTAATACTTTTACACTAACGACAAAAAATACATACCCAACGAACGTAGCAGAGGTAGAGGAAGTTCAACTCATAAAGGAAATGAAATTGACGAGTTTGGTTGGCTGAAAACATTCAAGAGAGAGGGAGAGAGAGGGAGAGGCAAGTTGCAATTTTTTTTGCAGTTTGCCTCTGCCATGGCTGAACCTGATAATGTATTGGACGAAGGCTTTTGCACGACAAATAAGTATTCGTCGCGCTAAGTGTCTGTGTCGTCGTGCAAAAAGCTCGAACTTTGCGTGACAAACAACATACGTGTCGTCGCACAAAACTTTTGTCGCGCAAACCTCTTTGTCGTCGCGCAAAAGTTAATTTTTCTGCGTGCATGGATGTGCCGACATCCAACTTTGCACGACCAATAAAATTTTGTTTGTCTCTCAAACTTTCGTCACGCAAGTATTTGGCGCATTTTTCTTACGTGACGACAGGGTGGGTCGTCGCAAGAGTCTGAGTGTGACAAAATCAAACGGTTCATCGCGCTAGTAATTGGTGCCAAATAGAATAACCCCGTGTTTTTCTTCCCGTGTTTTTTTTTTTGCGTGACGAAAGTGTTTTGTCGTTGCGCAAGAGAACTTATTGCGACCAAAGTCGTCGTCGCTTAAGATTTACCGCCAAATAAGCTAGCTCCATGTTTTTTTTTTCCTAGCTTTATGCAACTATAGTACTTATTGTCGTGCTAAGTAATTTTGCGCAACGAAAGTGTTTCGTCGTGCGAGTTTGCGCTACGCATATTTGTTTCCGTCGCGCAAGTGTCTCTTGAGCGACGAAGTTCTCTTCGTCGCGCAAATAGTAAAATATAGTAATGACCACATGCACCTCAACTGCTAATGACAAGCAAATAGGGGTTTTGGACAATGCCATTCAAGCCCTGTTGGTGAAAGTGAATGAGCTGCACAGGATTTTCAAGCTACTATTGAAGCAATGAAATTCCATCCAGAGATGAACAACAAGCGCAATGTTACAATCAAAGTCGTGGGTAATCAACCTCCAAAGCAAGCTACGGACTATATAGGAAGGTGAAAGTTCCTTAGCCGCAAGCCTATGGAGGGGCACGTAATGCCAAAGAACTCTAGAATTTCTTGTTTGATATGGAACAATGCTTCCGAGCAGTGAAGGAAGACTTGAAGGAGACAAAGGTGACGATGACGATACTACAAGAAAAAACCTTTGCTGATAGCAAAAAAGTGTCACTATAGCCATTAGCTGACGGTTGAAGAAGCGTCAAGAATGCCACTATCAGGAAAGGGGTACCCACATCCTTGACACTTTTTATCCGTCAAGGAAAGAATTCTTTTGACAGCTTATAAGCGTCATGTTTCAGTTAAAACCGTCAACTTATAATTAACCTTGACACTTTTAAACTATCAACATAACTTTTTGTTGACACTTACCAGCTCTTTTGTTGACGGATTTTAGTTGTCAAGAAACCAAAGGGTAATATTAAAAAAAAGGGGGGAAATTATACATCCACTATAATATAATTAGTTAAGACTAATTTAATATACAATAAATGTTACACATTAAAAACAAATAATATTGAAAACACATTAAAAATTACACACTGCAAACAAAACATAATGAAATGAACAAAGTTATCTAGTAAATAGTATGTAGTAGATCTCAAATTACATGGAACTAATTTTCACTTAGAAGCTTGACTTTCCTTGGCACTTTATGAGCGTCTCATGCTTACTTAAACATATTATACATCCATCATGCTTAAGCACTTACGGGAGTTAACATGACCAAGTTTATTTCCATCACGATCTGCCTCAACGCTTCTATAAATCCTTATATAGTTTCATTATTGTCATCACTTGTAAGTGGAAATAAATAGTCATTAAGACCACCAATTACAAAAACAAACATATATAGTAGTACCAAAATTTCCTAATTACAAGAAAGTGGATGTTTCATGGCAGCTAGCAATTACAGAAGAAAAAGTAGCCAAACAGAAAATGAAGAGAGATATTCATGCCTAGACTAATGATTTCATACACTTATAGTAAATAGGATAAGTTGAAGTCACTTATGAAAATTAGATTCATCAATTAAAGGAGAAAATTTTAAGAAACATAAGTGGAACATGGAAACCTCTTTATGTTCTAGTACAATCCTCATTTACATCCAAATAGTTCTTTCTTGTTTATTATAAAATAATAAAATAAAATAAAAACCATCCAGACAATTCTTGCATGATCAAATAGTCATGTACTACAACTATCTACACAAATAACATTATAAGGGACAAAAATAATATTTAAGCTCAAGCAAGAGTGTAAGGTTTTAATAATAATTAGTTTTTAGCTTTCCTTGACACCATTAACATCTTGTAATAAGCTGCTCAAAGAGGATTAGGATTAGTCTTAAGTTGTTGGTCTAAAATGGTCCTCACATAAAGCGATTCTGCTTCACAACAAAGCGATTGTCTACTCCTCAACAAAGCAATTTTGGCATTACTCAATAAAGGTAAAATCATACATTGCATTTCATTCTGTGATGCTGGTCCACTTGAATGACCTGTCATGAGGATGGTACAATTTTTACCATTTTTTGCTAGCCTTTACACCTTTGTCCAGAAAATACTCATTGTCTTATCTGATAGCCATTACACTGTTGACATCTGGAGCTCTTGTCCTAGGGCAACATTTCTTTCTCCTTTACTATAAAGGAGGCATTTATGTCAAGGAGCCGTCACCTCTTAGAGAATATAGATTGGCCTTTTTTTTTGGAAAGTTTGCATGTATAATCTTTTTCTTTGTGAGGGCTGTGAGGTTGCATTTATGAGGTTTTAGGAAAAACCAGTTTTTCATAAAATTTGCTCTTGCTCACTAAATTTGCATCTAGACGTTCTAAATCATACATATCATTTAGATCTAGAGTTCAGATTTTATGATTGATTTTCTCCAAGAATGATTTGTTGAGAAAATTGATCCTTTCTTAAATCTATATTATCATCACTCCATTCGATTGGGTAGTGCTGTGTTGTTGGTGCCATGAGATGATTGAGCTGAAGGATGAAGCTGCCATTGTCATGATAGGCTAGCTGCAAGCAATGTTGCTGAGAAGAAGAAGATAGCTTGGAGAGGTATAGTTGCTCCTTTGAAGAACTAGAAATCTTGAGCTGTATCTTATGATCTTTGTAACTATTTCTTCTTGTTAGTGGATTCCCTGGTCTATTCATTGAGGGTTTTAGTTTACCCTCTTTACCTAAGTACCAATTATAATTAGTATCAGAGCACCGGCTCTTAAGATAAATAGAGAGATCCTAGGGAAATTAATTGGTTTTTAGATATTTTCAAAAATGGAAAGGGATCGTGTTGCTGGTTATTGTCACTCTCCTCCTTATTTTGATGGCACAAACTATGTTGCCTGGAAAGAGAA